GTCTAATTGAAGAAAAAAAGGTACAGAACCATGTAAAAATCCACGGGCTTTCTTTCTAGAACCATTTGAATATCGATTATGGGGGAGCCAGATTTACGGACTTATCCGGCGATGTCCTTTAATTGTTCACCACTATCACTTGGAAACGATAGAATCATGTATAGTTTTTGTTTCAATAAGTCTTAATATATGATGATGTGGTTCGAGATCATTCTGTGAGTTAATAAGATTTTATAACTAAGATAAAATCTTGAAAATGTTTAAAAAGTTACCAAATAAGATTATTTGTAGCAATTTTCACGTTAGAAATATATTTTCTTTTTTAATTGTTATAATAAACAAATTATTTTGTGTTAAAAATTGCAAAATTTTATTCATGAAACGGTCAATGTTATTGTCCTCCTGGCATGTGAAACCTCCTCCTTTTCCTCCTATTCCTCCTGTTTCCATAACATGTCCTCCTTCACCTCCTTTTTGCATCAGAATCCTCCTATTCCTCCTTTTTATCACTTAAGTTGTGAAATCAGCATTTTCAATATTTTAAACAAAAACATTCGGTGATTCTACAGTTCAGAAGATATTTGAAATGATTGATTATAGCAATGCAACAAAAAAATGTCTTTTAATTTCCAACGAAGATCAGTCTTTATTTCGAGTTTTCGACAAATTAAAGTGTCATCTTCAGGCATTAACTAGTAAGAATACATATATATGCATATATATATATGTTTTTAATGTGCAACATCAAAAGGTAATACAATTACAATTAATTAGAAGGAACAAGAAAAAAGAGACAAAGAACAACATTATATAATAATTATGCAATATTTTTCGTTGTTTCTTTTCTTCTGTTTTGCTCCTTCTGACAAATTATAATTATATTATCTTTTGATGTAACATGTTACGAACATATATATTTTTTTTTAATATTCCTATATGGTCATTCTCTGCCGATTAAAAACTATACTCAATCATTTCAAGAAAGCTATTGTTAAATAACTACATTCTCTTTAAATGTCTCTTAAAGCGGCAAAATTTAATATTTCATAGTTGAAAAAAGTAGATTCAGATGGTACTCCTGTTAATCGATGACTGAAACAGGGCGCAAAACCATTATCATTCATTTGTACATTATGTAAAACCGGCAATTTATGCTGTGGAAATAAATGGTGGCAATCTATAGGACGTCCAATGCATAATAAAAAACATCGTGATAGTTTAAAATTGATAAAAGAAAATAGTACATTTGTTGTTCAAGCTGAATGGAAACAACCAAAAAAGAAATGTAAGCTAACTGTAGAACCAGTGTTAACCCAAGACGAAAATACCTATTACCATTAATATTTGTGTTTATGCTACTGCACAGTCATGTATGGGCTAAATCAGGCGGCAAAACGGGACATTTATACGTTTCATTTAAGTTTAATTCTCGATAAGAGTGAATTTTTTTAATAAACTCTTTTAACATAGACTTATGTGAAAATGCTCCGTCTTTCACGTGGTTATTAATTAATTAAAAAGTAATTAGTGAACATCTCATTAATCAGATAAAAGAAAAATCTGAAAACTTCAAGATAGCCTCTAGGACATGAGCTGCATCTATGGCAAAATTTTCAGCAAGATTCGCCTCCAAAAACTTTCTTTTGAAAAGCCTGTTTTCTAGAGACCCTGATTAGTGCAGAAACGAAAAATTTTGTCTTATCACCCTCTAGGGGCTGTAAATAATAATTTGCAACGTTTGAAGTCGATTTAAAACTTTTCAGTCTGCTACAAGAGCACCTCCTCGGTTGCGCAGTAGTACTGTGTCACATTGCTAACGAAATTGTCACGTCTCTAACGTCAAATAAACTCAAATTATTTAAAAATCTAAACATATTCAGGAAAAACATTGAATAGATATTTTTTAGCTTCAAGAGTTGTCAGCAACATTTACTATTTAGTTTTCGAAAGTAGTGTTTCAATTCGTAGATTTTTGAATTGAAATGCTATGCTTGCAATGGAAGTTTATGTCCTTTTCTCAGTAACGTCGCTAACGCTAGTTTTTTAATCATAACTATGACGAACAATGATCCTTAGGGTTATTTTTTCAGATTGTCTAGAGAAACTTAACATACATACAGCATATAAAAAAATCAGCTCTAGATAAGCTCATTGTCCAGAGATATATGGATTTCAATTTTGAGAAGTCGTGTCGCTAACGAATGATTTGACCCAAAAAAATTCTTTCTGATAGTTACTTTTTTGTTCTGAGTGATTGCTTTTTCAGTGTTTTGTTTGAAACTTATGAATAAACATTTGTTGAAATTGTATTAAATATTTTATTACACTCTTTTCAAAGTACCAATGAGCTTGAATTTGCATAGGATTTCTTTTTCACGAGAAAACAGAAATCCTCCTTTTTTCCTCCTTTTTTATCCCAGATCCTCCTAAAAATTTGCAGTAAAATCCTCCCTCTTCCTCCTTTTTCGGAACATAGCGTTCACATGCCAGGTCTACTGCGATACTTGAAAGAACTGACGGTAGCCCTTACAAATTCTAGTCTATCGAAAGAGAAACAGTTTCATCATATATTTTAACCCATTCGTGGTGATGTGAATATTGTGTTCTCATAAATCGTGAAAGGTACTATTGCTTCTGTCACGACAATGATAATACTTCAAGGCAGCTTTTATCAATGTTTCTCGTATAAATATGAGCTATGAATATTCTTTTATCAATGGTAAAAGAATGAACCCATCTGGTCAAAATATGGCAGAGATATTCAATTTTTTCTGCAGTACCATCTATAATAAAAAAATTATCTAAGAATGGGGGCTAACTTTGACTCTGTCGCTACTATAGGCGACTCTAACGCATCACAGTATCATTGAAATACTGCGAAACCGGTTTAATTCAGTTAGTTTTAACAGATTTTCAAATATATTCAGCTGTTTCGATACGCGACAGTCGAGCTTCGTTGAAAAAAATGGAAGCTTGTTAGTGCGCCCATTTCGATCTCACATGTAGAACTGATGCAAAATTCTTGAACCTCATTAAACTAATAGAAGATACGCTGAGTGAAAAATATCTTGTAAACTAGAGTTATTTTACAAGGAAATTGTTTGCCATCGTAAGCACCTATCTTATTTATTTCCGAATTTTGAACAAAGTTTTTCATTCGTCCGAGGAGGGGGTTTCTTTTATTGTTTTTCTAAAATAATATATTTGTCTTGTTTAGTCATTTTTAATTCTAATTGTGTTCAAAATTCTAATTAAAACATATAAAATAGAATCTTTGAGATTCTGTAAACAATTGAAAATTACAAAAATGAATCGTTTAACTGACTAACATATTAAAAAAAAATTAAAACAAAAAGAAATTCCGATGTATATGCTCGATAAATAAATTGATTTTAAAAAAGTGAAAAAAGTCTAACCTGTTTCATAATTGATAACTTCACAATCTAACATTCTTGGATCATTTATAGTTTCTTGTACAACACCTTTTAAATAACATATTTCATGACATTTTGATTTATATTCAATTTTGGTTTCATTATTAACAATAATAGTTTGACAACATTTATCGTTCGTACATACTGTTCTTGGATTATCTAAATGTCGAATTTCAACATCATGTTGTGGTAAACCTTGAGAAGCTAATTTAGGGTTTTTTAAAACATTTTCTTTATGTTGTTTAGCAAGTTGAAGATTTTCTTGAATAAGTTTAGCTGTTTCGGCAATAGGACGTGTAAGTTTTCGAATCAATTGTTCAGCTTCATTAAGTGATAATGTATTACTAACAGCATGAAGTGGACGTGTTACGATATGACGAATTAGATTTGAATATTCTTTAACAGTATGTTCCCAACTCTTTCGATAACTTAATGTTTGATCGTTAGAATCTGTTTCAATATAACATAATTAATTTTTTTTTCAAATCTTTTCTCTTTTTTTCATTTACGAAAATTTCATTTGAAGTTTCATTAAAAAAATTTCTAATATAACTTTTTTTGGGATCTTCGAATAATTTCATTCTAAAGTCAATCATTAAAATAGATTCTATGTTAACTATAAAAATCATTTTTCAAGGTTTGCATATATATACTTGAAAAAATGTTTTGAAAATTATTTACTGTTTAAACTTAAATATTTTTATGTACACTTGTTAGTATTTACATATTGTAATTATGAATTATTCCGATTGTAATTAAAATGTCTCTTAAATAGAAATAAATCAATATTTATTTCTATTTCGATCTATTTTATATTATACATGATTATTTATTTCTAATGAAAATTAGTGTCAAGTTTTAACGGAAGATGGATAAATGTTTATTTTACCTAAAAGACTTTTTGAAATTGTTCATAATTAATTAATTCAATTTTATAAGAATTAACGCTACATTCATCTAATGTCGGCGCCAGAAGTAGATGGAGAAAACTCAAGGAGAAATATCTCCTGAACGGATGCAGCTAGCGACCTGCGGTTTTCACCATTAGAAAGAAAACATCCAGGGGCATCCACACATGGTAAAATATAATTGATCAGCAATGGAC